CCAAAACAACCACGGGGAACCCAAAAACACCAAAAAGCACCCCAAAAAATACTGAAAAAAACCCCCAAAAACCAAAACACAGAGGGGAATCCAAAACAACCAAGGGGAACACAAAAAACACAAAAAAATAGTGGAAAAAACCCCCCAAAAAACCGAAACCCAGAGGGGAACCAAAACAACCAAGGGGAACACAAAAAACCCCAAAAACCACCAAAAAATACTGAAAAAAACCCCAAAAACCAAAAACCTGAGGGGAATCCAAAACAACCAAGGGGAACCCAAAAAATGCCCCAAAAATACTGGAAAAAAAAACCCAAAAACCAAAAACCTGAGGGGAACCCAAAACAACCAAGGGGAACCCAAAAACACCAAAAAGCACCCCAAAAAATACTGGAAAAAAACCCAAAAAACCAAAAACCTGAGGGGAATCCAAAACAACCACGGGGAACCCAAAAACACCAAAAAGCACCCCAAAAATACTGAAAAAAAACCCCAAAAACCAAAACACAGTGGGGAATCCAAAACAACCATGGGGAACCCAAAAAACACCCAAAAAATACTGAAAAAACCCCAAAAATCCCAAACCACCAAGGGGAACACAAAAACACCAAAAAACACCCCAAAAATACTGAAAAAAAACCCCCAAAAAACCAAAAACCTGAGGGGAACCCAAAACAACCAAGGGGAACCCAAAAAAACCCCCAAACCCCCAAAACCACCCCAAAAAATCCCCAAAACACCCAAAATATACTGAAAAAAAACCCCAAAATATCAAAACACAGAGGGGAACCCAAAACCACCAAGGGGAACCTAAAAACATCAAAAAACACCCAAAAAATACTGAGAAAAAACCCCAAAAAACCAAACCCAAAGGGGAACCCAAAAAACCCCAAAAAACACCAGCAGGTACCCCAAAAACACACCAAAAACCAAAAACACAGAAAAAATGTCCCAAAATCACTTTATTCCCACCTGGACAGTACAAACCGCCCCCTCTAAAAATTCCCAAAAATTCCAAAAAATTCCCAAAAATTCCAAAAAATTCCCAAAAATTCCCAAAGACCCAAACCCACCAATTTTGGCCCCAGCTGTCCGTCCACGACACCAAAAACCTGAATGACGCCTTTAAAAAGCGCCCCAAAAATTCAATTTATTTCCCTTTTAACCTCACCTGGGCGCCACAAACCCCCCCCAAAAAAATCCCCCAAAAATTCCCAAAAATCCCAAAAGACCCAAAATCCCCGTTTTTGGCCCCAGCTGTCCATCCACGAGACCGAGGACCCCAACGACAACCGGTACCTGCTGGTGATGAAGGGCGCCCCCGAGCGCATCCTGGACCGCTGCTCCACCATCCTGCTGCAGGGCAAGGAGCAGCCGCTGGACGAGGAGATGAAGGAGGCCTTCCAGAACGCTTACCTGGAGCTTGGGGGCTTGGGAGAGAGGGTTTTGGGTGAGAATTTGGTTTTTTGGGGTACTGGGATTTTTTTGGGAATTTTTGGGATTTTTTTCGAATTTGTTTTTTATTTTTTTGGAATTATTTTGGAGTTTTTTTTAAATTTTTTTGGGGGTTTGCTGAGACCTTCCAGAACGCCTACCTGGAGCTGGGAGGGCTGGGGGAGAGGGTTTTGGGTGAGTTTTGGGGGATTTTGGGGTTCAAGAATTTTTGGGATTTTTGGGGGATTTTTTGGGGGATTTTTTTGAATATTTTTTTTTATTTTGGGGAATTTTTTTAGATTTTTTGGGGTCTCCCTGTAAAGGTTTCTGCCACTTTTACCTGCCCGAGGAGCAGCACCCCAGGGACAGATTCACAGAGGAATTTTGGGGCAGATTTTGGGGACATTTCAGGGCCATTTTTGGCCTGATATCAGGGTGATTTTTTGGGTTAATTTAGATGATTTTTGGGTCTCTCCCTGCGCAGGTTTCTGCCACTTTTACCTGCCTGAGGAGCAGCACCCCAAGGGCAGATTCAGGGAGGGATTATTGGAGTGAATTTCGGTGATTTTTGGGCTGATTTTGGGATGATTTTTGAGCTGATTTTGGGGTGATTTTTGGGCTGAATTTCAGTAATTTTGGGTCTCTCCCTGCCCAGGTTTCTGCCACTTTTACCTGCCCGAGGAGCAGCACCCCAAGGGCAGATTCAGGGAGGGATTATTGGAGTGAATTTTGGTGATTTTTGGGCTGATTTTGGGGTGATTTTTGGGGTGATTTTTTGGGCTGATTTTGGGCTGATTTTTGGGCTGAATTTCAGTGATTTTGGGTCTCTCCCCGCGCAGGTTTCTGCCACTTTTACCTGCCCGAGGAGCAGCACCCCAAGGGCAGATTCAGGGAGGGATTATTGGAGTGAATTTCAGTGATTTTTGGGCTGATTTTGGGGTGATCTTTGGGGTGATTTTTCGGCTGATTTTGGGGTGATTTTTGGGCTGATTTTGGGGTGATTTTTGGGCTGGTTTTTGGGCTGATTTTGAGGTGATTTTTGAGCTGATTTTGGGGTGATTTTTGGGCTGAATTTCAGTGATTTTGGGTCTCTCCCCGCCCAGGTTTCTGCCACTTTTACCTGCCCGAGGAGCAGTACCCCAAGGGCAGATTCAGGGAGGGATTATTGGAGTGAATTTCGGTGATTTCTGGGCTGATTTTGGGCTGATTTTTGGGGTGATTTTTGAGCTGATTTTGGGGTGATTTTTGGGCTGAATTTCAGTGATTTTGGGTCTCTCCCCATGCAGGTTTCTGCCA